AGACTATGCGCAATGAAGTCAAATTAAGAAAATATATTACAAAAATAAAAACTCAGTTTACAAAGATGTATTAATATATTAAATAAAATATATTTACAAAATACATACTGACACAAACTCTGTAATACAAGAAATGAATAAAATCCAAATGCTGTATATAAACATTACAAAACATTTTATTGTGTTTATCTATTATTTCAGAAAAAGAACTTTGTAATTCTTCTCAAAGCACTGGTGCTAATATAGTTCTGTTACTAAATATTTTATCTACAATGTATATATCTAACTCATGTATTTAAAGAGGAAGAACACACTCTTATATCCATACATCAATATACGTACATATTTCACTTACATGCAGACGCTTAAATATATTTCTTTAACAAGAATATTTATCTACATCATACAATCATCTTGACTGAACAAATAGGATATTTTAGAAAAATTTGAAACTACTGTAGAAATTTTGCAAACCGACAAAGCATTCAAACAAAGCGTGTGAAATTCGAATTTACACATTTGATTATTCTGTTTTTTATTTTAAATTAATGAAAATACATAAGGTAACGAAATTCCTCACAGCACTTATATCTTTATTTCTATAGGTATAACACGAAAAAATATTTTAGAAGAAATTAAAGCATCTTTAGAATACGATAAATGAAAAATATTGACCAATTTCGGGAAAAAAAAGCTTTTCCTATGAAAAAATTAAAATTGATCTTAATTTCAAGAAATTTTTTTTTATGAAGAAATTCGTTTCCATTTTAAGGGGGAAAAAAAAAAATAAGGGAATTCTTTTCAAATATTGAAGTTTGTTGGGAGAAGAAAAAACCTTGTTTTTTTTTCAAAAAAAGGGAGGGGAAAAAATTTTTTTTTTTTTTTTTTGGGGCCCAATTAAGGTTGAGGGGGGTGGGTTTTTTTCCGCCCCCCCCAAAAAAAAATTTAAAAAAGTTCTTTTTCCGACTTCCCTTTCTGTCATCATTTACAGCAGTCTGCCCGCCTACACTTGAGCCTGCCTCAGCGTTGTGACTGTACATGTGTATCTGTGGAAATGCCTTCCTGCCTTTTTTGTGTCTGCATCTCGTAGTCAGTGTATCACCTTTTTGGTGTGTGTACTGTATGTGCATCCAAAAACTCATATGTTTGATTTTGACGCATTTGTGTGCTTGAGAATGCTATTAGTGCCTATAATGCATTTTTCTGCCTGTGAAGACATTTACGTGTGTTTGAATACGTTTATGGGTGTTCACGCATTTATGTATTTAAATGCTTATCTATTTTGTTCCTGGTCTGTGTCTGGATGTGTTTCGAGATATGCATGTCAGCGTGGCTCAATCTTTCCTTCATTATCTAGCCTGCGGGTCTGGGTCTGAGGTCGAGTCTCTATTTGCCTATGTGTGTACGCCTGTTCGTCTGTATGTGACAGCAAGCCACCTGTGCGACTGTATCTCCCCACTTCTCTGCTTGCCTGCATGCGCGTGTGTGTTCCTGTCCGTCCATGTGTGCCAGCAGGTTTGTTTGTTGCTGTGGGTTTGCGCCATCTTCCTCAAAGTGTGTGTCACTCAGTCAGACAAAATGTGTGCTAAATGAAGTTATCCTTAGTCAAAATATGTGCTAGTCAGTCGAAGTGTGCGGTTGTTGAATTTTGCCTTAGGCAAACTGTGTGCTAGTTAGTCGCGATGAGTGCTAGTCAGTTAATGTGAAGTCTAGTCAATCAACGTTTTCTCTAGTCAGTCGATGATAGGTCTATTAAATTAAAATGTTTGCAAGTATTCCCACGCACGTGCTCGTAAGTGAACGCCTGTGTTTGTCAGTCAATAAGCATTCTGTCAAACAAATGCGCCCCTGACAACTCTATATGACCATGTAAGTCAATGTATACCTACACAATTTGTGACTCAGTCAATCTCTTTTGCAAAGGCAATTTTTAAACTACTGTAGACATTTTGCAAACCGACAAAGCATCAAACAAAGCGTGTGAAATTCGAATTTACACATTCGATTATTGTTTTATTTTAAATTAATGAAAATACATAGAGGGTAACGAATTTCCTACAAGCACTACTATCTTTATTTCTTAGGTATACACGAGGAAAATATTTTAGAAAAAAACTAAAGCCATCTTTAGAAATACGATAGTGAAAATATTGGCAAATTTCGAAAAAAATTGCTCCTATAAAAAAATTATAGTGATCTTATTTCAGAATGTTTTTGAAGAACTCGTTTCATTAAGAAAAATAAGAATCTTCAATTGAAGTTGTTGAGAGAACCCTTGT